ATTTAATAATATCAAGGTAATAATCAATAAAGTGTTTTTTATATTGGCTAATTAACAAATTATACGTTTAAATAGGATTTAGAATATTGCATTAATTTCGGACGAAATGTAATAGATTATCTTGAAATCATCTATAAAAAATTCAAAAATGAGAAATCACTTTTTAATGTGTAAATATTATATATATATGTTAAAATTCTAATAATTGTAATAACAACCTTTGTATTATATCTATTTTTAATCCAGAAATGTCAAATATTATCGAATGCTCTGATAATTCCCCTTTAAAGAAAATATTAAGAGATGATGAGTGAAAAGAAATTAATGAAGAACATTCATTTCATATTGATGTAGACATTACTATCTCTCATTATTTGAGTCAATTAGCTGATTTTTTATGTGATGATAATAATATCATTAATGTTCATGAAATGCTTCATCCATCTGATGATAATTCACGACACATCGAGTTAAAATTCTATTACAAGGCTTTAGTAAAATTGTAGGTTTGTATTATATAAAGAAAGCATTTTAAAAATTACATAGTTACATAATATTTGTTTATATTGATAGAAGAATTTTATGGAGAACTCTAATCTTATTGCCTGATAGTAATATCAGTGAAGGTCAATACATAGCAGATTATTTACATGAAATACTTAAATTAAACTTTAAACTAAATAAATATAATCTTTTTTCTTTTCCGTATGTAAGATTATTTTATTTTTATTTTTTAATGAATCATAATTAATTTATTTTGTGATATTTATATTTAGTATTGATATTACATCAAATGGATCAAAAGAACGTAAACTTAATGCTAAAAAGAAAAAACTGTACAACGAAAAAAAATTAGTCTCCAAATCTGATAGAGGTCGTCGTGTTGATTTAATAATTAGAAACGTATTAAATATAGATCTAGTGGTAATAGAAGTTGTAGGTCCTCCGCATCGTAGAAATCATAAGAAAAATCTGTGGGATTTTAGAAGAGGTATTAGAGCTTGTAAAGATTCTTAAGAAAAGTTTGTTAATAATTTGACAGAAAA